GCGACACTTGTCCATGTGAGTTGAATGTAATTGTTTTTATAAATAAGTGGAGTGGTTTTATGGTTTTACATTATGGGAACTTCCTGTTTTCTTCCTCTTTCTGGAATTTTGAGATTTGTTTCTGTGGCGGACATTTATACATATTATTATTTTGTCAACATAGTTGTCACAAATGTGTTTTATTATTATATGAATTGGACACCTAATATATTGCACATTAGCACTTTGGGCATAGGCTTTGCATATATATGAATTGGTTGTTCACTTTACTAGCACAAGAGCACTTTTTATATACAATTTTTGCACATAACGTTTTGCACATACCATTTTGAGTCTTATAAGCTAAGTTTTGATTATTATTTTTACCATATCAAGTTGATGGATGTAGAAGATGTCTGAATAAGATAGGGTGGTGGAGTGTTGGGTAGCACTGTTTTACAATATTTGAATTCAGGAAATAGCCTAATAACATCAGCTTTTTGCACTATTCACACAGAACAAATGTGCATGAATGTTCACTGGGGGAATAGCTATATAAATACCACCCATGGAGCTATTTTATTATGACAGTGGGGAGAGTTTCCTGCTGTCAGAATACATTGATCAGTGTTGCCAGATATAGCCAGCAGAACTGATTGAGCAAAACAAAAATGGCCTGGTTGTACAGAAAACAATCAAGAGATTGAATTCAGCCCAACCAGCCTGTCCGAAGAAGGATTGAAATTCGGCCAGTACCTGCTGAACCAGCCGAATATCAATCCATCTATGGCCAGCTTAAAATAACACAGTAAGACGAAGGAGCATAACAAAAATGAACAACTTAAGAAAGCATAAACAATATTTTCACAACAATATTAAATAAAACATGTAAAATATAATACTTACTGTGGTAGAGATCAAACTGTTTCGATTACAAACAATTCCCCAGGTAGCTATACCAATAGTAACAATTTCATTGTTCCTATTGACTTTGCCAATGCAAAAATCTCTTACTGCTTCGCCAACATGCTTCATTACACCAGCATAAGTACCACCAGTTATAATCCAGGCACCTACATGACATGCAAACAATATGTGAAAAAAAAAATATAAATACTATATAACTTTTGCTTCTTTTTGCCAAAGCCCGAGTAGTACAAACGGAACAATGTTACAATTCAACACCCATGGTAATTCTCTAACTTTAGCACTGGTATTCAATACATAGGAGCAGCAGAAATTATAATTCAGTGTACACTGCTGTTTCCATCAATCAGGTTAGTGAGAGAACTAATAATCAAAAATAGTTAATACATTATCCCTACCTATTACTTTACACATGACAGTCTAATTTCATGATAACACTACCAGAATAGCTTTTGTGAAAAGTTATTAGTTTAGAGTTTTAATTTAGTTAAAACCATAGTTTGCTTTAACCTAATCCTAAACAAAGCTCTTAGATTGTCTAAGATTAATTTAAAAAATGTATAACATTTTCAAAATGTAAGTAATTTTAAGATACAAATGTCGCTTTATTTAAAAGCAAGTGTAGCCCCGGCCAGTGGCCCATGAAGAAGTAGGAGCCACATGACCCTAGCATTCTTGCGGACACCACAGCCATTCCTCTCTTCCCTGCGAGGATGACAGGACAGTGTTTGGAGGGAGCAGGGGAAAATAAGAGGATGAGAGCAGGATGTTGATTGGCGACTTAGGTAGCTGGACCTTTAGCATTACCCACTGGATCTGAGGGAATGCAAAGACAGGGTAGGAGGAACAGAGTGGGCAGAGGAGAGACAGGGAGGCAGGAAAAGGAGACAGCTAGAGACAGTCTTCAAGAAGAGAGAGCAGGCTGAGAGGCTGTAGAGTGGCTGTGTAGAACAGTGCAGACATGGCCAGAGAAAAAGGAGTAACTGCAGAGGGGGTATGTGAGGATCTGAACCTGAGTCAGGGACACTACTCCGGAGCCTGCTGGGGAGTAGCATCTAGGACCCACAGAGACCCAATAGACACCAGGGAGAACCCCAGACATACCAGAATGGAAGAGACCACAGGGACAATGTGACCTACACCTCTCATTATTGTGCTAGTTTTTGTTACACAATATAAGATATCAGCACTGTTTGATCTATAAATAATAGTGTAATGTGACAATCACCATGGTTAGCCTTCTCACCATCACTACAATCCCCAGAAAACATTTTTTTCAGCTTTAAACCTGCAGAAGTGAGAAGCATGTGCACTCATATTCATATAAAATGTTTGAAGACCAGCAATTGATTATGTGATAGGGAATGGTATTGTATTTCACTTTGTGAACTTCTCTCTAAAATACTTGGTTTTTTGGTTTCTCTTGGTATGACCCAGTCCACAAACTTCATTGAAAAGGTAGACATTTTTTTTTACAAGCTGAATATATTGATTATCACGTATCTTAAATCCTTGACTGAAGCAGCACAGCAAAAAGGCCCACTTAGTAATACAAGACAATGTTAACTCAGATTTAATCACAAACCTCCAAAATACTTCTGTCCTCTCATTATTACTGCACTCATCAACTCTAGCCAATTCTAAACCACATGCTATTAAAATCTCCAGGATGCTGGGGCATATACCTTCATATAAATCACACTCTCATATTACCTCCCTTACCATTCTATTTCTCCTACCTTCTGGAAATATATATGCTTAAACCCTGGACTGCCATTGTGTCCAATGCTCTCATCACCCCACACCCTCTGGCAGCAGCCACAATCTACACAGCTTAGTTTTCATTCCTCTTCTTCCCAAAACCAGCTTTCCCTTCACTTTTCACTCCATGTCCTCCATGGTATACTCATTACTTCCCTCATTCAATCCACAAACTATGGACGAGGTTGCTAAACTTTTCTCAAACACCCACTTAACCACCTGCCCCTTGGATCCTGTTCCTTTGCAAATGCTATGATCACCCTCTAGCTCTATCTTACGACCTCTAACTTACATCTTCAATCCCTCTTGGCATCTTTCCCACCTCATTAAAACATGTACTAGTCACCTCCATACTTTAAAAGCCCCCACTGGATCCCACCAATCTTAACAACAACATACCCCCAATCTCCTTACTCCCCTTTTCCTCCAAACTCTTTGAGTGTTTAAGCTACAACTGACTGAGCAACCATCTCACTGAAAATAATCTTCTTGATACCCTTCAGTTTGCATTTGCACTCCACAGAAACTGTTGTCCTAAAACGCACAAATGATCTACTAACAGCTAAAACCATTGGATACTATTCTGTACTCCTACTGTCTGCTGCCTTTGACACAGTGGACCACCCTCTCCTCAAAAAACTCCACTCCTTTGGTCTTTGTGACTGTTCTATTTTCTGGTTATTATCCTTATCCCACAGCACCTTCAGCGTCAGTTACAATTTTACTTCCTTCTCTCTTCCCTTCTCCGTCTGGGTCCCCCAAGGTTCTGTTATTGAACCACTCCTATTCTCGATCTACACCTCCTCCCTAGGTCAGTTGATAGCCTCCCATGGCTTCCAATACCATTTCTGTGCTGATAACACCCAAATCTATCTCTACTGTATATCCCAGCTCACGACCCAAACAACAAACCAAAACACAAACCAACATCCCAAAAAAAAAAAAACAACACCACAGCTCCTTCAAAATATATGTGCAACACTAATTTACTAACAGACATATCAGCCTCGATGTCACTTCCTTAAACTCAATCTATCCAAAACCGACCTCATAATATTTCCTCCTCCACGTGCCTTTTCCCCTGACTTTTCTGTCAAGATCGATGGCACAACCACAACCCATCCCCCCATGCCAAGGTGCTAGATGTTATCCTGGACTCTGAACTATCCTTTCAGGCCCACATCCAATCACTGTCCAAAGCTTGCCGCCTCAACCTAGACAACATCTTCAAAATGTTCCCCTTCCTAACCAATGATGCCATAAAGCTTCTAATTCACTCCTTGGTCATCTCCCACCTTGACTACTGCAACTCCCTCCTCATTGGCTTACCTCTACAAAGATTATCCCATCTTCAGTCCCTTGTGAATGCTACTTCCAGACTCATCCACCTTACCAACCGTTCAGTGTCTTCTACTCCTCTCTGCAAATCCCTCTACTGGCTTCTGCTCACCCATGAATTAATTTCAAAATACTATCAACAACTTACAAAGCCTTCCACAACTCAGTCCCCAGCTTCATCACTAATCTTGTCTCAAAATACCAACCAAATTGTTCTCTTCATTCCTCCCAAGATCTCCTGCTCTCTAGCTCCCTTGTCACTTCCTCCATGCACACATCTAGGACTTTTCCTGAGTTTCTCCAATCCTATGGAATTCCCTACCCCAATCGGTCCAACTATCTCCTACTCTGTCTATGTTTAAACGTGAAAACCGTGAAAATTCCTGAAAACCCATCTCTTCAGAGAAGCCTATCTTGCCCCCACCTAATAAGTGTACTTTTGTCTCCATCAGCATATCTCCCACAGTTATTACCTTTTGTATCACATGACCCTCCCTTTTAAATTGTAAGCTCCAACGAGCAAGGCCCTCTGATTCCTCCTGTATTTAATTGTATTGTAACTGTACTGTCTGCCCTCACATTGTACAGTGCTGTGCAAACTGTTGGTGCTATATACATCCTGTATAATAATAATTTTATGATTCACATGGCAGATATTCCCTGCTATGCCAATAAGTAGAGAGTACATTTGGGGTGTTTTTTTTCTCCTGTAGGATTAAGTATCATTCGATTCTGACAAGTAGCTCTCAGGTTAAACTTCAGGGAGAAGTGCCGGGCAGATGTCCACACATAAATTAAAAGAAAATATTAATGTGTTAGAGCAATCAAATCAATGTAAACATCCTCCCTCTTGGGACCAAAATATTTACATTGATTCTGACAACTAAATAACTGGTAATGCATACAGAAGCAGCTATAAAATCACCTGTAGTTTGTGCAGATTTCACAAGACCTCTACGGAAAATGTTTTCCAATTTCATTTTCATGCAGAAGTCCTTGGCCCCACCTGTTACTGATATTAAAAGATTGGGAACTTCAAGACCCCATTGCTCAGTCATCAACTGGTAGAGGACACTGGATGGAGTATCAGAAGACACTCTCACATACTTCTGGGTTAAGGAAAAAGGAAGACTCTGTATTATAATCTTACATGCCATATATTATTATACTACATATATTTTATTAATTACAAATGATTAGGTACATTATACTTAGGTTTAAAATATCTAAAACTAAATCAGTATTACAATTTAAAAAAAAATAAAATAAAGTTAGTTTATATGCATTTCATTAAGTTAAATTCAGTTTCTATGACACAAAGTTAGAAGACATAAGGGGGTTTATTTACTAAAGCTGGAGCGTCCAAAATCAGACTCCCTTCTGCATAGAAACCAATCAGCGTCTAACCTCAGCTTGTTCAATGAAGCTTTGGCAATGAAACCTGGAAGCTGATTGGTTTCTATGCAGAAGGGAGTCTGATTTTGGACTCTCCAGCTTTAATAAATAAACCCCAAGCTGTCCAGCCTGAAAGCTTTATTATACTATATTATATTAGAGCTCATAATGTAGCAAATTACAGTAAGTTATAAAATTACTATAAAACAAACCTTTCTAGATCTTGGACTCAGGCCAGTGAAGCTTATATCTCCAAAAGCATCTGTGGGCATCTCCTTTATATGTTCTCTAGGATTCCATGTCTCTTTGCTTAGGAAAGGTTGTGGTCGTGTAGTCGTGTAGTCCATGTGCTGTTCTTTGGAATATCCACACATGCATGTAGGCTTTCTATAAAGAAAATTATTCAAATTATTATGATCAAAAACCTAAGTGAAATATTTTTACTATACTGCATTAGTTTTCCATTGTTTACATTATACAAATAAAGTCTTAAAAAATTTACTTTTAAATGAACATTAACTTGACCCATTCTGTTCATAGTTACAGGTTTGATCAACAGCAATATTCTGCTGATATTCATGTTTAGCTTTCCCATACCCCTCCACAGTCAGAGCCCTAAGAATTCCTGTGTGAGTTCTAAATCAGAGCTTAATAATAATTTATTACATTTGTTTAAGGTTAGAGGTTAATTATTTTATATATTAATTTATGCTTTATTAATCATGATTTTTTATTTATATGTGTATTTATTATATTTATTTTACATTTATTTATTCATATACTAATACTATTTTTTATTTAAATTTTTTTTCATTTGAGCAGAAAATAGCACAAAACGCACTAAAAAATGCACACAAACTCACACAAACGTGTCAATCGTGCGTTTCTATTAGTTTCCATGGGAATAAAAACATGCCAAAAACATGCTCATCTGCCCAAACTGAGCTACAAAAGTAGCGCCAAAACTTTTTTGAGCTTCAAGCGTTCTGCTTCAGGAGACTTGGAGTGGGGATGTGAACCATCTCCATAGAGTAATATTGATTTTTTTCCCCCCTGAGCGTTTTGGAGCATTGAGCTTCACGCTACAAAATGCTCAGGTGTGAATGCAGCCTAAATTGGGCAAAGGACTTTCTACAACATGACAGCACTTGAGCCAGTGATTGGCCAGTCAGTCATCCAGATCTGCATAGTTGGAGGAAAGGGTAAGGGTTATATTCTTACCAGGTTTTTGGTGAGTGAAAAGGGCAGTGATATGCTCTGAAACTCAGTGTACAGATATCCCTGGTAATAATCTGAGGCCCACTTCATGGATTTTACACAAGAAATCAGAGAAAGTATATATTCTATCCATTATATCTATCTATGTATTTAATGTGCATATGAAGGATTTCATACACTAAAAGGCTCCATAACCTCTTTGCATTCTTCCCTAACTTTCATCCCTTTAAAGCGGATCAACACCATCCAAGCTAAAAATTTCTGGTGGATGCAACACTGCATGTGCAATGCAAAACATGTACAAGTCTTTTATTAAATAATTTTTTTTTTAGTTGCTTACATGTATATGAATTCCACTTCCTGCTTTCCTGAGGCACTAATGACATAGCCCGCTCTGACACATGCATCCTAAGAAGGTTACATCACTAGTGCCTTCCAGGGAGATCTTGTCAGTACCATGCAAGATTCTACGAAATCTCACAAACCTTATCAGTACACTGCAAGGATCCTTCTTGCACGTCATCATGGCGATAGTCTCTAGGAAGTTAAGGCATTTATATATATATATATATATATATATATATATATATATATACATACATACATACATACCTACATACGTACACATACATACATGCATACACACACACACTATACAGTTGCAAGAAAAAGTATGTGAACCCCTTGGGATTACGTGGAGTTTTGCATGAATTGGGCATAAAATGTGCTCTGAACGTCATCTAAGTCACAACAATAGAAGAACACAGTCTGCTAAACATAATACTACACAAACATTAGATGTTGCCATGGTTTAATTGCACATAACATGTAAACATTCACAGTGCAGGGAGGAAAAAGTATGTGAGGTCCTAGCTTAATGACTTCTCCCAGAACTAATTGGAGCCAGGAGTGAGCCAAACTTGACTCCAATCAGTGTGATGATATCGGATGTGTTGCTGACAGCTGTCCTGACCTTAAAAAACACACACCTGTTTTGGGTTTACTGGTTTCAAGAAGCACTGTCTGATGTGAACCATGCCTCGCAGAAAAGAGCTCTCAGAAGACCTACGATCAAGAATTGTTGACTTGCATGAAGCTGGAAAGGGTTACAAAAGTATCTCCAAAAGCCTTGATGTTCATGTGTCCACGGTAAGACAGACTGTCTACAAATGGAGAAAGTTTAGCACTGTTGCTACTCACCCTAGGCGTGGTCATCCTGTAAAACTGACTGCAAGAGCACAGCGCAGAATGCTGCATGAGGTAAAGAAGAATCCCAGAGTGTCAGCTAAAGACCTACAGAAATCTCTGGCACATGCTAACATTTTTGTTGACACATCTACAATAAGGAAAACATTAAACAAGAATGGAGTACATGGGTGGACACCACGGAGGAAGCCATTGCTGTCAAAAAGAATATTGCAGCACGTTTGAAGTTTGCAAAAGAGCACCTGGATGTTCCACAGCACTACTGGCAAAATATACTGTGGACAGATAACCAAGAAGCCAAGATTGAGTTGTTTGGGAAGAACACACAACACTATGTGTGGAGAAAAAAAGGCACAGCACACCAACATCAAAACCTCATCCCACTGTAAAACATGGAGCATCATGGTTTGAGGCTGCTTTGCTGCCTCAGGGCCTGGACGGATTGTTGTCATTGATGGGAAAATGAATTCCAGAGTTTATCAAGACATTTTGCAGGAAAACATACGACCATCTGTCCGCCAACTGAAGCTCAGCAGAGGATGGGTGATGCAACAGGACAATGACCCAAAGCATACAAGTAATTCAACAAAACAATGGCTGCAACAGCACAGAATACACCTTGCGGAGGGGCCCAGTCAGAGTCCTGCCCTCAACCTGATTGAAATGCTGTGGCATGACCTTAAGAGAGCGATTCACACCAGACATCCCAAGAATATTGCTACACTGAAACAGTTTTGTGAAGAGGAGTGGTCCAAAATTACTCCAGATCGTTGTGCAGGTCTGATCTGCAACTACAGGAAACGTTTGGTTGACGTTATTGCTGCCAAAGGAGGGTCAACCAGTTATTAAGTCCAAAGGTTCACATACTTTTTCCTCCCTGCACTGTGAATGTTTACATGTTATGTGCAATTAAACCATGGCAACATCTAATGTTTGTGTAGTATTATGTTCAGCACACTGTGTTCTTCTATTGTTGTGACTTAGATGACGTTCAGAGCACATTTTATGCCCAATTCATGCAAAACTCCATGTAATCCCAAGGGGTTCACATACTTTTTCTTGCAACTGTATTGCCAAAAGTATTGTGACAAGTCACTGACAACCCTCCAAATCATTGGAGCCAGGTGTTCCAATCACCTCCATGGCCACAGGTGTATAAATAAAGCACCTAGGCATGCAGACTGCTTCTACAAACATTTGTGAAAGAATGGGTCACTCTCAGGAGCTCAGTGAATTAAAGCATGGCACCGTGATAGGTTGCCATGTGTGCAATAAGTCTATCCGTGAAATGTCCTTGCTACTAAATATTCCACGGTCAACTGTTAGTGGTTTTATAACAAAGTGGAAGCAACTGGGAACAACAGCAACTCAGCCATGAAGTGGTAGGCCACGGAAAATGAAAGAGTGGGGTCAGCACATGCTGAGGCGCACAGAAGTCGCCAACTGTCTACAGAGTCAATATAGCTAAAGACCTCCAAACTTCGTGTGACCTTCTGATTAGCACAACAGTGCATACAGAGCTTCATGGAATGGGTTTCCATGGCAGAGCAGCTGCATCGAAGTCTTACATCACAAACTGCAATGCAACGCATTGGATGTAGTGGTGTAAAGCACACTGCCACTAGACTCTAGAGCAGTAGAGACGTATTCTCTGGAGTGACAAATCACACTTCTCTGTCTGGCAATCCGATGGACGTGTCTGGGTTTGGTGGTTGCCAGGAGAACAGTACTTGCCTGACTGCATTGTGGCAAGTGTAAAGTTTGGTGGAGGGGGGATTATAGTGTGGGGTTGTTTTTCAGGGGTTGGGCTTGGCCCCTTAGTTCCAGCAAAGGAAACTCTTAAAGTGTCAGCATACCAAGACGTTTTGGAAAATTTCATGCTCTCAACCTTGTGGTAACTGTTTGGGGATGGCCCCTTCCTGTTCCAACATGACTGAGCACCAGTGCACAAAGCAAGGCCCATTAAGGCATGGATGAGTGAGTTTGGTCTGGAGGAACTTGACTAGCCTGCACAGAGTCCTGACCTCAAGCCAATAGAATACCTTTGGGATGAATTAGAGTGGTGAAACCGAGCCAGGCCTTCTCAGCCAACATCAGTGCCTTGTGGAATTGAATTGAGCTCTGTCATTTCAAAGCCATTGTTTCTAATTTTTAGGGACTCTTTAATGACTGGCATAGTACAACTGGATTGGCACAAGACTAATGTGGTGCCAATATTTAACAAGGGGTCAAAATTTTTACCAAGTAATTATAGACCTGTTAGTTTAACTTCTATATTTGGGAAGATACTGGAGAGTTTAATAAAAGACCACATAGATGATTTCCTGCTGGAAAAAAAACATTTAAGCAACAGACAGCATGGACTCATGAAAGAGAGAAATTATCAAACAAATCTGATTTCTTTTTATGAGGAGGTGAGCAAAAACCTTGGACAGAGGGGTGGCGGTGGACATGGTATACTTGGATTTTGCAAAAGCATTTGACACAGTTTCCGACATGGCCAATGTGTAAGGTAAACTCTACAGGCTTGGAAAAATCGGTATGTAAATGGATAGAAAACTGGCTAAAAGATCGTATACAAAGAGTAGTGGTTAATGAGTCATACTCTGCATGATCTAGGGTTGTCATTGATGTACCCCAAGATTCAGTGTTGGGACCCTTACTTTTTAATATATTTATAAACAATATAGGGTCTGGGATTAAAAATACCATTTCAGCCTTTGCAGATGACACTAAGCTGTGCAGTGGAATAACGTCCTTACAGGATATCTCCAACTTACAAGCCAACCTCAATGCACTGTTTATTTGGGCAACTATGTGGCAAATGAGGTTTAATGTTGATAAATGTAAGGTTATGCACCTGGGGGCTAAGAATATGCATGCATCATACATACTAGGGGGGGGGGGGGTACAACTGGGGGAATCAATGGTGGAGAAAGATCTGGGAGTTCTGGTAGATCACA